AGTAAAATGATCTTTAGATGTAGAACACATTTGTGGATAAATACTGGTACTACACTGTCAATGTCTACAATGTTTTAAAGGATTGTATTACTGTGCTGTGAAAAAGTGACCAAAGTTCTGATTAAACATTTACCACTGTAAATATAGTTGATGATAACCACACCATTGCTTAAGTCCCTCATCTTTATATGAAATGGGGAATAAAAACTAAACCTTGAACTGTGTCCGCTGTAAATGAAAGATTGTCTTTTTCCATATCCTGTATACTTGAAATAAAAACAGCCACCACTCCAAACATTTTTCCTGGGTTCTGGACTTTTATTTGAGCTTGCATTTTGTTAAAATGTTTGAATACATAAAAAGTTATTTAAAAATGTCAAACTGACCAGATATCAAATTCCATTTTATCTTTAAAAACCATTTGGTGTAAAAACTTAGGACAGATTTAGAAAAACATTTGCTGTTTCCCCAAAACTTTTTGTAGCTGTCACATAAAAATAATGGAAAAAAAACAAGTCTGCATAGATTCTGCAGGCCATCGGTGGTAATCTGGTCAAATGCATGGTGCAAGCTTGTGACGATCGTCAAGTCAAATCTTTATTGCTCAGATCTTATTTGATGTTTCTTCTTGTTGACAAAAAAACTGTAAAAGAAGAAAATTAGCAATTAGTCCACTGCAAGTTTTTATTAAACATTCCCAGCCTTTTGGATTTAGACATTTTGCATGGTGTATAATGAAATGCATAAAAATGTGCATCACCAGAGACACTATTCAGAGATGCTGTTCAGACAAAAGACAAAAGTGATAGAGCTCAGTGGTGCCAGACTGTTTGCTTAATCAAATCCACTAGATTACCTCAGGCTTTCGGACTGTCCACTACAGAGCCAAAAAGTGTATAGGACAAGCTATTCAGCTTTACACTGCTGTAATACTGCCTAGTTATTTTGCTTTCAGTCCCAGATGCTGAATCTAATGAACACATGTAGAATTCGACATTATGAATATGGTCAAAGCAGACTCACCCGGACGATGGTAAAAGATGGTAGGTGCCGGTGGGCAGGTTATTTCCTACTCAGCCCCACCCTGCTGGGCCTCGGGAGCGGACGTTTTCTCTGCCGATGTGTCACCTCCTGTCTTGGCCTCCTTGTTTTCCTGGCCAGGTTTGCCACCAGTCTGTTGGCGTCTGCGGCGGTAATTGAAGTTGCGGCGGTAGCGGCGCTGGCGGGGCTGCTGATTCTGACCACCTTCACCGCCCTGATTCTCCTTGTCCTCCTCAACGTCCCGCACCGGTCTGGGACGGGGTGGACCCCTAAAGTTAACAAACAAAAAGGAAGAAGCTATAAGCAAACAATAAGGGTACCAACTACAAGGCAGAAATACCATGCAGAAAAATACATTTACTAAAGCAAGATGCAGGATTCAAGTGACTAACAAATTGCAGCTTTTCAGCAGCAATTTGTGGATAGGCTGCAACAAAAGGACAGCTTCTCTATCCAAACATGTGGAGATTACTACTAGTAAAAGAATCAAATAGAGAAATCTTAGTTGCTGGACACAAGACCAGGATGGAAACAGCCCAAATGTTTATTCGCCTATTGTTGCAGCCCTACATCAGTGAAGCCAACATGCAAACCTTGGTCTGAACCTTGGTCGGAAGCCTCTGTAGTAGTTCTGCCTCGCTGGTTTGTTGCCCTGGTCTTGACCTCCCTGGCTCTCGTCACCCTCACCTCCCTGAAAGCAAATGGATCAAACTGGTCAAACGCCTTCTGAACCATAGTTCAGTAGTGACATGCACCACTCTAATGAAACTAGCAAGCTTAAAGAGTTAATATTGAAATGATGAATGAGCATTACCAGGTAGTTCACCGTAACAATCATGGGACCCTATTAGGGTCAGTTTGTAAAATACTGGCAAGGCCCCCGATACACCAAGATTTATTGGTCACAACCACGTGAGGGTTAGGAGAGGGTTAAGAGCCGAGTATGACATAATCATATTACGGTCCCGACTTTAGGGACAACTGGGTGTCTGTTTCAGGATAGTAGCCTGTGACAGCATACCTCAGTCATCTCTCCGCGTGGTGCGTTGGTGTACGGGGGCCGGCGGCCGTATCGTCTACGTACAAAGTATGGTGGGTAGCGCCGTCTGCCAGGGTACGTGGGTCTGCGCTGCTGTTGCTGCGAGTCTCCTTCAGGGGCATTCTCTCCACCCTCTCTGCTTTTGTCACGTCCTCCGCTGCCTTGTTCACCCTCTCCATCACTCTGGTAGTTCTCTGGATAGTCTCCTCCACGGGGAGGGCCCCTCCTTCGGGGGTACCGCCTATAGCGGTTCCTGTCAGCAGCATACTTGCTTCCCTGGACTGCAACACCTCCTGGGCCGGTGACATTTGCAGCCTCTGCTCCCTGTGTCCGCAGTAAGATGGGGTTTTTTTTTATTTTTTTTAAACTAGAGAACATTCATGGGATGTTTTCTTTAGAAGCTGGCAGACTACAAAACCAAATTACTAACCAAAGAACAGCTTACCTTCTCTCCCTCGACTACATCAAACTCCACAGTTTCTCCATCTCCAACACTGCGAAGATATTTTCTCGGGTTGTTCTTTTTGATGGCTGTCTGAAATCATAATGGTTCACATTTGAAATGTTTCTAATCATCATAATCATCCGATTTTGATTTAAATTGTGAAAAGAAAAAAAAAAAAAAAAAAAAACAACATTGCAAAGCTTACCTGGTGTACAAAAACGTCCTCTTTTGTATCATTCCTATGAATTTAAAGAAAAAAAAAAAAAAAGAAGCAGAACACCATTAGAAGTATCCTACTGAGCCACAAAAAGCAGTGATGCCTCTGCAGACTACAACAAAGCGAATGAGTGTAAGGATTAACAGATGCATGCAACCAGAGTTTGGAGACGTGTAGATAATTCATCTGGGCAGCTTTGTAAGCAAATCATAGCCATAATAGGATTGGGAATGTTGCTTCACACACTCACACTGTTGTTATCAGGGTCTATGGAAAGAAGAGATGGGTGGAGTCAACTTACCTGTTGATAAACCCATATCCATTCCTGACGTTGAACCATTTGACTGTACCCAAGACTTTTGTTGCTGTAAAGAAAACAAATTATGATATATTACTGATCATTTTAGATGCATCTTGGTATTTAATAAGACTTCTAACAATGACAAAGTGTAAAATAAGAACAGACCATGAGAAAGTGACACATTTAATGTGTAAGTTAAATATAACTCCCAACTGTCATTCTTATTATAGATCCTGGCGCTTAGGAGTGTCTTGTGCCAGCTGCATTTGGTGTGAGGTAAGCACCATGAACGAGTACCACGAACGAGTACCGACTAGATTACTTCTCGGGTAAATTTCAAGACTGCCCCTATTTTTAATGTCCCCGTCTACTGTAATGCCACCCAAATCAAAGATTTCAATATCATCATAGCAGGCCGCTGTAGCTAAACACATTGACTTTTAACTACAGCAGACCTACTGCCCCATTTTAGACGCACTACTGAGCGTTCACACGTGGTAGAGTCGCGCCCGGATATGTTAGCGAGCCCAGCTGGCTTGTTAGCATAGCTATGTAGCTGAGATGGTCTGAACCATGTGCTTGGATTACTGCCAGCAGGCGGAAATGAACATAACACATCGGACAGCTTCTATTGTGACCAAATGCTTAGAACGTTAAAAAATTAAAATAAAATAAAAATACCACGGTTATACTGGTTTCAATTAACAACCGAGGAAATGGCGAAAGAAATCAGCGGAATACACGGCGGACATTTTGGATGGCCTCTTTAGCCATGTAAATAGCTCAAGCTAGCTGGCTAGGCTAATATAGCTTCGCAAGCAACCGTCGGTCGATCACTAGGCCCCAATGAGACCTCATCAATTCCACCGAAAATAGTCGACCATTGATAGTTATGCTACGGTGCTTTTCTGATCAAATCCAAATATAAATAGCTGCTAATTGTAACAGTGAAAAGTTTGAATATAGTTTCGACTGTTTTAGATTATTTTTTTTAATATTTCACCGGGGAGCAAGACTCGTGCGAACAAAGGATGGCAAGTCGCTAACGCTAGCTTGATTTCGATATAATTTGTAACCGGTTAAGCCATTTGATATCTCGGTGTTCCACAAATATGGCATTAAAGTTCACTTTAATACATCATTTCCCATTTCCTGCCTGCTTAAAAGGAGCACCGACGTTGGCATATACACACAGAATCTGATAACGGGCAGAAACCTTTTAGTTTACGTGACGGCCGACCGGTACCAGAGCATTCTATGGCGTACGTTAGACGCGAGGAGGCCAATGAACATAAGGGATTAAGTCTAAAATACCTCATTTAAAAAAAATACTCACATGTCTTCTAAAATTATTTTAATATGAAGGCCAAAGTGTTAGCTATAAAAGAATGAATAAGCAGCGGTCTATAAAAACTATAAAAAGCTTGCGCTGTCTAGCTTCCAACCGATACTTTAATTCTGTATCGCCAGCACGTAAACGTTTAGCGTTTTTTAGGCACCAAAAGAAAATTAAACTTTAAGAATGCTTCTCGTTAGTAAAAGCCAATACACTGAATAGAACACAGCCCATGAAATAATTTTTTTAGCCAAAGGGACCAAAAAATATACTGGGTCCCGTTGGCTAAAATAAAAATTTCTCTAATGTTAAGTTAATGTAATAGTGTAATTTAACATGTGCTAACGTTGTGCGGCTCAACGGCCGTGTCTAACGAACGTTTTTTAGTTTACAGTATACTGAGCTGTGGATCGAGTTGACAACCTTACCAGCCACCACTTTTGCGCATTGCCCCTGTGCCATAAAATACGTTAGCTATCTAGTTAGCTTAACTAGCTCCAGCAATCTTACCGATGACCTTCTTATCCCCCGCGGAAGCTGCGGCTGCCGGGCTGGATGGGCTCTCCGCATCGGCAGCAGGCTGCGGCGGTTGTTGCTGTGTCTCGGCCTCGCTGCTCATTGTTACTTGTTGGTAATGGCTTCAGCCGGCGGCGGCTCTTTGCTATAGTTCCCGGTGCTAGATGGTAACCTGGGCCGGCGGTGGTGGGGGCTACTGCCTTCGGGCTCTCTGCTTTCCTCTTTCCGCTCCCGTTGCCGATCGAACTGGGCAGAATGAGATGAGGTGCCGGAGAACGTTCCTACTCGGAGGTCCGCCCAACTGCCATTCTAATTGGTTGGAAAGTGTAACAGGAAACACTCGCGTTCCAATTAGCCTGAGCAACTGTCAATTTCGCTTCAGAAACGCGTTGGGTAAAATGATTGGGTAAAGGAAACCGTACCTGTCCATTCTCACCACCCCTTCATGATGTCAGAGCCAGACGAATCAGACCACATAACCGTGACAGTTTTGGAACAGTGTCTACTTGGTAAAATCATGTTCTGCTGACGGACCTGGAGCTAATATACATATAATTTAAAATATAATTGTAGTTATCACTATGCAATACATAAAACTGCATGGAAATATTTCAAAAGACTTGGCCAAAATAGTAGGATTATCGTGTGTTAATCGCACAGGGGGCAAAGGAAAGTCAACAGCTGAATATTCTGCTTAAGAGATCTAGAATCACGGGTCCATTAAGAAGAAAAACGATGCCTGAATGTTCAAACTATTTTCAGTTTCATTGTGCACGCTAGTTAAATTAAAAATAAAAAGGTGCATATATATATAAAAAAAGAGGGGTAACTGATAAAGTAATCCATGTTACTTATTACACCTAAGCATTAAAAAAAATAATAATCATTTAACATTTCTGGCAATCTTAATTACCTTAGTCACACCATAATTATCTTTGACTGTCAAAAATTACATCACAGTTTAAATAAGCTGTTTCTGTAAATCATTTAATTATTAACCTTAAACCAAATCTTAGCAGAAATAATGACAAAGTAAGTCAGGTAATTTTCTATTTTAACTGGTTAAAGCCAGTCATCATCCTGTGTGAATTTAGAAACCCCACTTCCAGAGCAGCCGGGCCCAGACTGAGTGTAGGACAACCCTACCACAGCCTCCCCCCCTTCCATTGTCATGTTAATGCTCCACTGGCACTGTTTACGAGCACTGGCCGATGTGTGAAGAGCTTGCTGTTAATGTCTGAGCACCGTTGTCCCATACACAAAGATGGGCTTTAGCAACGACCCCAGAAAGCTTCCCAACAGAGATCCCCCTTTCAAAAAAAATGGGGGGGAAAAAAGCCTCCTTCCTGAATCCATAAGAACAGCGTCTCCATCTGAAAAGCTTCTTTTATGCCAAGGGAACGATGTCCAAGGCCGAGGAGGGAGAGCATGGATGGGGGAGGGGGTCTGTGGAGGCTTAGATCTGTATAGATGGCTGAGATAGAAGAGGTAGCCATAAGTTCAGCAGACGAGTGCTTGGCACTGGAGTGCTTGCCATGGAAGATGTGTTTCACTGTAAAGTGGTCCTCTCATTTCCTCCATAACTTTGAGGTTAAGATAAATTTTTAATCAAAGGCACTATAAGGAAACAGAGCTAGTAACACTTACCAAAGCAGCTCAGATTACTCTGGGTACACAATGTTCTTTCAAAGTTTGGACACTGCTACAGTTTCTCAAACACACATTAAGTTGATAAAGTTTAATCATCAGGTAAATCTGATTATTACAGATGTGAATTATTGAATTATTATTAGAGGGACTATTTATAGTTGGCTTTCACTACTTTCTAGACTATATCCAATGGTCAGTATTGCAACATTTGACACCCTTTGACACTTAATGAAATTGTTTTGAATAATTTGATATAAAAAAAATCTGCAGCATTTATAAAAATGTACAGAAATTTATTGATTGGAAATAATACAAAGTATGACCACCATCCAATTCTTTGTTCAATTAAAAAAAGAAAAAAGGTACACAAACAGTCTTAATTTGGACTTGACAGAACAACAGCAATGAAGCAATGAATTTAAAACAAATGCAGTCTGAAACCAAATAAATACATCAATGTCCACTACTGGTCATTGTAGGAATCAGTGTGTTAATGTTTTCTGAAGAGTAACAAGTCACAATTAAGACATTAAAAGTATACAGAGGCTGTGTAATGTTGGCATGGTGTTTAGCACGTGTCGGCTCACATCTCTCCACACTGTGCAATGACGATGGGGAGTTTAGGCTTGTTGTTGGGCCCTGTTGGGACATTCTGTAGGAAGAAAGTGACACACGTTTAGAACAAAAATGCCACTCTAAAGCTGTAATCTAAGCACTACATCCAACTACGGTGATTTATATGGACTTGTACGAGTTACAGGTTTAATTATTTGTTACATAAACATTACGTTATAAAAGATTAAACTGTAGGTGTTAGTATTAGGCTGGATACCTGCTTTAAAAAAGGTCTTGAAGCCTTAAACATCACAGATGTAAAGTGATGAGTGTTTACAAAAGTCAACATTTTATTGGGTTGTGTTCATTTATTTCCCAAAAAAAAAGGCATTTCAAAATTAATTTTATGTAAGAATTTATTCATTTTACTATTATTATTTGAGCATTTTGGCTCTATTAGATAGCACAACAGAAAACAGACAGGAACGGGCAGAAAGAGCGGAAGAATTGTGAGAATTTCTTAAATTTAAATGGTAATGCTACATTTTAGCTTAATTTTTTTTCATGGCTATTCTCCCCCTTTGAAGTTTTTTAGCTTAGTGTACAATGTCTCTGTCAATTTACTCCTACCAAAAGAACCACAAATACAAATCTGTCCGTTTAAACAAATATGGTAGATTTATAGGGAAGATAAGTTCTTACCTCAATTTTTCTCATGACCAGCAAGCCATCAACCAGTTTTCCTGTAATAATTACAAGTAAGACAATTCAACTCTGACACAGACAATACAGTAAAAAAAATGCAATACCGTTGATTTACTCACCAAACACAACATGTTTCCCATCTAGCCAGTCACATTTAGTGCAGGTAATGAAAAACTGACATCCATTTGTTCCTGGACCACTGTTTGCCTGTAATATGATACAATATTAAAACAGACACATTTTGGTTAGGGTGATTTACCTGAAGTGTATCCGTGGAGATTAAGCCATCCAGTAGGAGTTTAACCCAATCAACTGGTAACATTTTCAATCACTATACTGCAAGATAAAATGTAAGTAGATTTATCAAAACACGTACCATTGAAAGAAGACCGGCAGCAGAATGCTTTATTCTGAAGTTTTCATCTGCAAATGGACCTCTATAGATGCTGCAGATACCTGTTCCATCACCCTGCACAAAAGATTAATAGTACATACAGTAGTAAGTAGGGGCTCATAAAGAAAGCAATAGATTAGGAAATTTTAAATGTGCTGTAATATGCTGCATAACCACCAGAGGGGGAAACACCAATGTGGTATAAATCTGCTCAGTTCAAGTCAATAGTTACCATGGCAAGATTTAATCAAAAAATTCTCAAATTCACAAAGCATTTGTGCAAATCTTCCAGACACAGTCAAAAGACAACCATTAAACTATGGATATTTGTGTTGTCAATCCAGTCTTCCATGTACTTACATTTACAAAGTCTCCTCCCTGTATCATGAAGTCTTTGATCACCCTGCCAATGACCAATGGAAAAAGAAAATATCAATTCTGCTAAAGAAAACCTCACAAAAGTTAACAAATATATGAAAAGTATTACAGTCTAACTGTAATAGACAGCAGATTACAAATGTATGCTCTTTTCCATTTTCTGTTAGTCAGTGTACACAATCACCACAGTAAAATTACTTAAGTTGCATGTCATTGCTAAATGCGAAGAGGCAGTGTAGCATTGCAAAAGTTTTCTAAATGACACTGTGAATCACATAACAGATGTGCTAGTCTTGTCATCATAGACCCTTCGTTAACACGGTACATTTCTTCTGTAACTATAGCGCAGAATATCATCTCAGCTTTGCTGCTGTAGTGTACACACTTCATAAGTCAAACACCAGAGTTTAATGTAAGCTACAGAAGTCAAGCTGCCATGTGAGTACCTGTGGAATGTGCAACCTTTGTAGCCAATAGGAACGCCATCTTTCCTAAAAAGACAGGAGTCAGTGAGAAAAGAAAATGAAGTAAGCAGTAAAATACTTTAATGTACAAACTGTGTCAACTGTCTCCTTGAAACAAAGTAGATTTGTCTATGTTTGTGATTCAGATTTTTACAGTAAATGGGCCAGCATGAAATATAGTACATCTGGAAAGTATTCACAGCACTTTCTCTTGTTCCACATTTTCTTATGATACAGCCCTATTTCAAATATTATTCTTGGAAATTCATTTAAAAAAACAAAACAAAAGTATTCGCAGCCTTTGTCATAACACTCAAAACTGTTACAGCAAACCAGGAGACTAATCAGGTTTGAAGGAAAGACGAATGCAGCATTGTACAGAGTCATCCTTGATGATAACCTGTTTCAACAGAACAGCAACCCAAAGTACAAAGCTAACATATCTCAACCCCTCATTAGGCTAGCTATCTTAACTGTCCATAGATAGGAGTGATTTCCTAACTTTTCCTCACCGGCCGCTAGCTACCTTATGGTTGTCTATCCTGAACCCGAGACTTCATCACTGATCGAGCATCATACCACTTACTTTTCAGTAAGGCGGGGGGTTTTTTTGTACAGTTTAGCACACCAGCTAACTGATTGCCTTTGTTGCAAACATCCCAGCAATCAAAGATTTTTTCCCCCTCACACCAGAGGAAGCAGAGAAACTAGGGCTCTACTCTTCGTTTGTGGCAACAAATTTTCAATTACGGACACACACACCAGGTCTCAGACCACCAGATCACATTATGAAGGGAAGAAATTGCCCCAGGCCACCAGGGCGGCAAAGCAGGTACTCATGTAACATGGGGCTTCTTCCCTGGATTTTGAGGGCACAGAGAAGCATGGCTTACTTTCACTTCCTATGATAAGTCGCAGCCCACCTCCATCCACGGCTGGCTACGGGCTCCTCCAGGAGTTCCACATTTTCATTGTGAATGAAAGGGCCTACAAAGTGGCGGCTTTAGCGGTAAGAGCACTGAAAATTACCTCCATGTTAGCTGCTTACCAAGCAGAGGTCTATGTGAGGCCAATGCAACTAGGACTGACTCTAATGTGTGGGAAGAGATCACTGTGATCACAGACATTTATCTTTGCATACAACGCTGCACAATCCAAGCCACATTTCAGGACTGTTCTGGGTTCCATAAGGCATAGATGTGAGTTGGGGAAGCAGGAGGATGAGGTCTCAATCTCCATCTTCCCAGAAAACTGAGCCGACACCACCTCCGACCCCATGACAGACCTTTGCTCAGGCAGTCACCCAGCTTCCCACTCAGTTCAAGATCCCAAAACAAGGGCTGGTAAGCCACAACTCAGACAGCAGTTCCACCGGGACAACCCGCGTAGCAGGTAAGTCAGCAGCTCAGGAAAAAGAAGAGTGTGGCCTGACATTCCCCTGCCATTTTATCAAAGAGTACTCCAAGTTACTGCCTGTCTTCTGGCCTCGTGCACTCAGTTTGCTCTAGGGCAGACCAGGGTGTAACTGAAGCCCAATCTGGCCTATGTGGAATCTGAAATCTCCGTTTTCCATAATGGGACATCAAAACAAATGCTAGGAATGAGAACTTTAGGCTACTTGTGTAACCCCAGTTCTCAAAGTAACATGAGTAAGATGTCTCAATAGACAAGCCCTTCTTGCTAAGAAAAGGCAAGAAGAGGTGCTTATGCTTACGTAGCTGTTATTCAGGATAAGTTACTAAAGGATAAGTGGTTCTGCCCAACGTGGGTTTTACAATTAGGGCTGGGCGATATGGCCTAAAATCCATATCACGTATAATTTGAAGCACGTGCGGTAACTATATATATCGCGATATATTATTTTCTTCTGTATAACGTATTTTCAACACTATAAGGCACACTTAAAATCCTTTAATTTTCTCAAAAATCGAGAGAGTGCTTTATGTATGAATTCTGGTTGTGCTTACCGACCTCGAACCGATTTGGGCGTGCAGAAATCTGTTAAAAAAAATGTTTTAGTACAACTTTGGTAAGCCGCACTGCTTAATGGATTGTCAGAGCATTACGGCTGCCATAGTGAGGAGCTTCGCGTAGTAATCTGGGTCCAAAACGCCATCGGTTCAGGTCCCAAAGTCAAACGAACACTGAGAGTTAAAAACGGTCTAAATTCTTTCATCTTTAATAAAATCATCAGCGTTGCTGCTTTACCAGGTGTAACAATTAAGTTTAACATCCAGGCATCCATGAAAACAGAATTTATTAAATTTAACGGAGTTAAAAGTTAACAGGAAGTTAGCTCGCTAGTTTCCACCTAAACATTTCATACCATGTTCTGACAGAAATTTCTGAAACTAATTAAAATGTACAGCTCTGCTACCACTTCCAACATAAATGAAGACAGAAAACTAATGAGCAGTGGCGTTTGCAGGGTTACTGAAGTTGAACTACCTGGTATATAATGTTGTGCTATGTGATTGCTAGCGACACAGCTATGTTAGCATAATATTAGCACAGTGAAGCTGGAGGATGAACGCCAAACGTTTTTTCCACTCGATAAAAGTTAACGTGAGGGATTCTGGTGGTTAGGGACAAATGCAATCGCATAGCAGGATGCTATAAACTTCAGTCAGGAGAACAACTGAGATTTTTCATCCACAATACAAGGTTAGTTATTAATATACTGCAACAACATGGGAATAGAGCAGCTGCGAGAGAATTCAACATTAATGAATCAATGTTACGGAAGTGGAGGAAGCGCAGTTTTTGGCTTTCCCCATATTTCAAAAGTGCTTCATCTCTTTGCTATGACTGTCTCCCAGCATAATTTGCAGACGATAATGGTTGTAGCCGCTGCGATGCTTTCGACCAAAACAGGCGCAGCTTGTTATCGCTATCGCGGTAGAGCGTATAGTCAAAATCTCTATCGTTGGCCAAATTTATATCGTTTATATCGTATATCGTTTATATCACCCACCCCTAGTTACAATCACCAGCCAATCAAGATTAGTGGAATGAGATAAATGCTCATCTCAGGGAGGCACATCCCATTGTGAGACATCTCACCCATGCTATTCTGGGAACTGGGGTTATGCAAGTAACCCAAAGTTTTCTGCAGCAGGAAACACTGCATCAAAGCACAGGACACACCTCAGTTCTGATAATGTTGATATGCGCTTTTTTCTTCCTTCAGTCACCAGATACTTACTGCTTCTCTAGTACACTTACCATGCAGGCACACATTTCAGCCCGAATATACAGTGGAATTTGTAAAATGCAAACCAATGAGCACCCCAAAAAGTTAATTCTGTTCATCTTGATGTAGCAATGTCAGTGGGAGAAGCGTTTCTCAATTTGCATATTAATGATCAAGAAACTGACCTCACAGCCCATTGTTCATTCAGTGGGCTAGTTTCAGTCATTGTGCAAAGGTACTGTTTATATGGTTGGGGAAACCTGCAGTCAGCTTAGACTGAAGAAATCACTTGAATGAGTGACGAAACATTTCTCCCACTGAAAAAGTTACGTCTAGATGAACAGAATCAGCTTTTTGGGATTTACTTAAACGGATGATTGAGCATGCATCAAGGCAAACGAATGAGCGGTTCAGTTCGCAAAACCTTTGCTTTTCTCTTAAGAATATTATACTCATTATTAAGACAAAAGTATTTCTTATGTGATTACTCGATAATTGATGGAGTACTTGATCACTAAAATAATCAATAACTGCGGCCCTGCTAACAAGTGCTTTCAAGAAGAGCATGTAAATGTTATGTCAATAACTGTACAGATTGGTGATGTGGTATTTGCAAATATGCATCCACCACACATTGCCTTACCTGAACTCTCCAGTACAGAACTGCCTGTAAGAGATTATGAAACTGTTAAAGTTTGATTTCTGTTAACACATACTGTATATCAAACAACAACAAAGAAGATTATATCATATAAGGCTGTGAGCAGTCTGTGATTGTGTGACTTGTTCTCTACCGGAAGTTCTCAGCTGTCTTTGGAACCACATCAGCAAAGAGCTCAAACTTCATCCGTCCAACATCCTGTCAAACAGTAAAGCAAAGTTAACAATAATTGATCAACAGAATTATCAAAGTTCTCGCAAACTTTTTTTTTTAAAACAAAAACAAGATAATAAGTTTGATGGGGTGGTCCCAATTGTCATGAATACACAACAAAATGTCAGTGCTTGGGAGGAAAAGAAGAGCAGACACATGGACAAATTTCAACTTTTATACTGAATATTTTAGTCAACTGAATCAAGTTTATAATTAGTCTACTAAAATCTTATGACATTTAGGCAACAAAAGCCAGACAAAAACAAAGAATTTAGATGTTTAATTTAATGACTTAAACTAAATAATGTTTTAGTCAAAAGAATATACAAAACTACATCTAAATTTCATGTCAAAATCAACACTGCAGTAAAGAAAACTACTGGTTAACCAACCAAAGGGTAACCACACAAAAGAATATACCTCGCGGAGATTTGGCACCAGAACACAGAAACAGGTTATTCTTGTCTAAATGATAATGTTACACTCACTAACACCCTTTCAGAGGGAGCTGAAGTTACACTTTCTACTTCTGGTTTTTAATTTGTGTCGACTTCGCTGAACACTTTACATATTCGGCGAAGTTGAACATAACTACTGTTGTTTAAACAACACAAGCTCTGCTGTGTCTCAGTTTTGATGTCATGCAGGTGTGACAACAGAAATAATGAGATGCTACAATCTTGATGCAAAACGTCACTGGACTATAAATTATCTTAGCCTTGTATTTACATATATACATGTAAATGAGTGTGGCCATCTCTCCGCCCAGTTCTCTGATACTGTTGAATTCGTGTAAGTGGCCCACTGTTACAACGTGTGCAAGTCTGTTTGAGAGAACAGTCTAACATTTGGAGTACAAGGAGCGGTTTGTCCTCATGACATCACTGCACAACTCGTCCTCCACTCCATGTGGACAAACCACAGTGGCCTCTAGATGTCCTGTGCTTGCCAGATAAAAGAGATAAAACAGTATGCTTAAGGTTTCCAGACAAAGAAATGAAATCAGAAATTGTGTTGATAAAGAACAAACAAGCACAGCACATTTTATCTGGTAAGGGTTTTCCCTTGTTGGAGTCTGGTTTCCCCTGATGTTTTGTACCCAACAATAGGTAAGACAGCTTTTAACTTTCTTTCTTAACAGTGGACTACTTTTGTTGTCATCCTATTACTAGGGTATCAATTTTCCAAGATTATTTCCATTTCAAGGGATTTATGCTACTTGGAAAAACCAGGTCTCAAGTGCACCGACTTAGACATAAGGCCAAGGCTTTAACTAACAAACAATGTTGAAATTTTCCAATCCACAGCGAGCAAATTCACCACACCTATATTAACTGATCAGGAGGAGTAAAAGAAAATAATAACAATACCAAAACTGAGAATAAAACCACACAGCAAACTAATCAAGCCAAACCCGAGGCTACAGTGTTGACATAGTCCACATATCAACTTTGCAACAGGAATAATCACCAGTCTATTGTGGTCAAAGACAGACGAGTTGACATTTCTGTGAACCGGCCATTCACTGGATCTTGAGTCCCAAGAAACGAGTGTAACTTGATATACATGAGGTGTAGGCAAACAAAATAATTTAAAGGGAGTAGTTTCAAACACACATTGTGAGCATTCACTGGTTGTCGTGGCTGCAGGACATGCAAATTGATGCACCAGGAAGTCGTCACTTCCATGATACATGTGGGAGGGAAAACAAGCAGAGTTCTTGGAAAAAAAAAATAGAAGGTGTGCCTCATCAGGTGTGTGCATCAACAATGGGGAAGCAGGATCATGAAGAGTTGCCTACCTGCTCATAACAGTCAGGTCAGAAGCAGGACTTACATTACTAAACAAGAGTTATCCACCTCTGCTGAAGCTTACGGGACTAATACAACACAGCATAAAAAGGTAAATTCAGAGCCATTTATTATTTCGTTCTCATGACAAACACAGGATTCTTCAATGGCAGAACATGGTTTAAATCTAAAGGAACATAAAGTTTATGTGTGTGCTGTATTGTGCAGAAGTGATTCTGCGGTGGCAAAATGATTGGTCAGTTTGAATACAACACTTTAGCATGTCTTAAAATTACAATAAAAGGAGTTTACCATACCAAAATAACAACTGATGCTTATTTTCATTAGCGATTTCCCACTTTCTTAGGTATGTAGGTACATACAAGATAAGCAGACTGGTCATGTTAATCAATGAGGCCCTTACAATTTTTTCTGGGATGCACATCAAGCACTGTGAGAGAAACTGAGAATTTTTGCATTTGTTCATTTTTAACACTGCTTGGTATCTCATTTCCTCTTTTAATCTAATATTTTAATATTAATAATTTACCAGTGCATCAAACGGACACACCCCAATTTATTTTCAGGGTGTATGGTTTGTAATCATCTCAGTCTTAGCAACCTGTAAACAGGGTAACACAGCTTTTAAGCTACGACTACACCAAATTTGATAATGATACATATCTATAGTACTACATGAATGCATTTTGCCAGTCCACTGTGACCCCTTAACTGTTCAGACTTTACAAGTGCGGTGCATACTGTAATTATCAGGAGAACGTTTTCTAAAATGAAATTGAATGTAAACAAGAAAAGACATTTTATAACTTGCAGGAGAAAATTATCTTTATAGTTTAATGAACTTGAGATTCATACAATGTATATGTATTCCCTTTGGTGGAGTCTTAAAGCAGACCTCTAAAATACCCTCTTCATATAATGATCAAAGTTTAGAAATACAACAATAATCTGAATAGGGGCAGGAGCAAAGGTATTCAATAAAATAGATCTGCAACAATTTACTCAGTAACTCAATTATAAAATATCCTGAAGGCAATATTTTTTAATATGTTTTACAATTAATTATTAACATCTACACCAGGAGATCATCTGTAGCAGGAAAGATTGCAGCTACTGATTATTGTGTGGATGCCTTAATAGGCATCCACACTATTGAGTTCCTGTTTCTCTTTATTCTTTATCTTTTCTTCATCTTCAAGTTGCTTCCGTACGTTTTTCGGCGCTTAACTACTCCCTCAGTTTTCAGCCGATTTTCTCAGTTCAAATCTTAAAAAATTCTGCTCTTTCTGCTCTTTCCTGCTATGACTTTTGGTGCTCATAACTTCTATACTTTTTGAGATATTGATTTTTCTTTTCAATATTTATTGCCCTTTTTTGCATATTATCAGTGGCCTCACTGATTTTCCTTGCCGGCTTGACCTGTGTTTTAGCTCAGTGAGATGAGCAGGTGGAGAGACTGACAATTGTGATGAAATGAGCAGAAGAGGCTGAGAATTTCATTTGAATGGGACAAATTAAGCTTAATATTTTAAAAAGTATAATAGCAGAAAATACCAAAAGACATAGCAGGAATTAGCAGAAATAGCAGAATAGTTTAAAATTTGAACGGTGAAAATCGGCTGAAAATTGTGGAAGTAGTTAAGTGCCAAAAAGATCCCAAGAGGAACTCAATACTTCACTAGAAAAATTTGCATTTCCTGCGAAAATGCTGTGTGGATGCCTTTACGCTGAGGATGTCTGCTGAAAAAAGCTGAAAAAGTGGAAAAAAAAAACAAAAAATTGCCCTGAGCGGGATTCGAACCTGGCCCTTACAAGGGAGGTTCTCATCTCACTGCGCCCAGTCATTCTCACAAAGAAAGGTGGAGAGACTGACAATCTGGTGAAATTAGCAGAAGCTGCTTAGAATTGTGCTAATAAGAGGTGAAAAGGCTAAACATTGCAGAAAAGAGGT